GGTGCTTCAAGTGTGGTGAAGTGGGGCACCAAGTGAGGGAGTGCGTCAAGGGTGATAAGTGCTTTGTGTGTGAACAGCTGGAACCGGGAAGCGGGGCCGGACACAGGGCCTTCACCAGGGCGTGCAGACGCGATGCCCGAGGTGGAAGGGAAACGCCAGCAGTCGTCCAACTGCGATCGCAAGTGGACGGGGCGAACATTAGACAGGGAGCCGGCGGCGAAGGTCAGGGCAGCGATCAGGACCGGAACGCGGGATGGCTATCGGAGGGTTCTCAACGCCAAGGTGATTAAGGTACTACAGGTCAATCTCAACAACAGTCGGGTGGCGCCCGATATGGCAGTGCGTGTGGCCAGCGAGAGGGGTTCGGACGTTATTGTGATGTCGGAAGTGGGTCCGGATACACGTGGACTACAGATCTTTAAAGACCTAACCGGGTCGGTCGGCATCATGGTGGCGGGGGACAACGTTTGTGTTAATAGAGTTGGACAAGGTGCCGGTTTTGTTTGGGTTTTGATAGACGAAGTTTTTATTTATAGTGTATACCTACCCCCTAACGACACTGTTGTACAGTTAGAGGGGAGGCTGGACGGGATAGCTGAGGCGGTGAGGGCTAACGGTTGCAACAAAACTATTGTGGCCGGGGACGTTAACGCGGCATCTCCTTGGTGGGGCGCACCTCTTACAAATGCAAGGGGAGAGAGGGTTGAAGAGTGGGCGGCGGCCCTTGGTATGACGGTCGCCAACGAAGGGAACGTACCCACGTTCCAGGGTAGAGGAAGGGGGACGATTATTGACGTTACCATGGTGGCTGAAGAAGTGAGCCATAGAGTGGGGGGGGGTGGAAGGTGCTAAACAATATAGATTCCTTGAGTGATCACAATTATGTGGAGTGGTGCTGGCGAGATCCGTTGAGGAGCTTCGACTGTGGGAATCCGGCCGGGAACGTCGGGTGGAACGCCAGGAAGATCAATCGGGGACTGGTGGAGGAGAAGCTTCTACAGGCCAAATCAGGGGAGGAGTCGCAGTGGGACGCGGATAAGATTGACCGGCTGCTGCAGGATCTATGCTCGGAGGTGATGCCCAGGCGACGTCTCGGTGGGAAGCCCGCGGTGTTCTGGTGGAACGAGGAAATTGCGAGCCAAAGGAGGGAGTGCAACGTGGCGAGGAGGGCTCACCAGAGGGCGATAAGAGGGGGACGTGGTGCCGACCAAGAATGGCAGATCTGGAGGACAGAGAGGAGCCGGCTCAGAAAGCTGATTAAGGATAGGAAGCGTGTTTGTTGGAAGCAGCTATGCGAGGAGCTAGACAGGGATATATGGGGAAAGGGGTACAAGATCGTAACGGGCAAGATAAGAAGTAAGATCAGGCAGATCGGATGGACAGACGCGATGCTTTCATAAATACGGTTAACGGATTGTTTCCGGCCCATCCGGAAATCGACCCGATCGAGGAGGGCGACCCGGGAGACGACGTTCGAGCTGTGGTGGAGGCTGAAGTGGTCGAGGCAGCCAGAACACTACCGAGCGACAAGGCGCCAGGTCCAGACGAAGTTCCAGCTCGGGTGGTCAGGGAGGCGGCTTCTATCTTGCCAGAGGCCTGGGTATCCGTCCTAAACGACGCCATAGAGACCGGGAGTTACCCTACCAGGTGGAAGGAGAGCAGGCTGGTTTTGATACCCAAAAGTGGGACGGGGCAAAGACCCATCTGCCTCACTGACTTTGCCGGGAAGGTGGCGGAGAAGGTCCTGAAGAGCAGGCTGGAAGAATTCGTGGAGCCAAAACTGCGGCAGGAGCAGCACGGGTTCCGAAGAGGTAGGTCGACGATCGGGGCACTGAAGGAGATCGTGAGCCAGGTCGAAAGTGCGAACCGAGGAAGTTGGAGGGTAAGGGAGGTGTGTCTGGTGGCATCTCTAGATGTCAAAAATGCCTTCAACTCGGCGTCGCGACAGGCCATAGTGGACGGTCTGAGCGAGATGGGAGTGCCCTGGAAGTTGGTGAGGCTCGTCAGGGACTATGTGGTCGACAGGGGGGTTACAGCGAGGAAGCCGTCGGGAGCGAACCACGAGTTCATTAACAGTGCGGGAGTTCCTCAGGGGTCTGTGCTGGGACCCCTGTTATGGAACGTAATGTACGATGGGGTCTTGAGACTAGTGAGGGAGAATGGCGTGGAGATAGTGGCGTTCGCCGATGACATTACCCTGATAGTGCGGGACAGGGAACTCGAGAGGGCGAAGGGGAAGATGGTGCGGACGATTGAGTCGATCGGCAGGTGGATGGCCAGGAGAGGGCTGGAGTTGGTCCCCGAGAAAACCAAACTGGCACTCATGACCGGGAAACGTAGGATTGCCACTGTTAATCTGGAAGCTTTGGGGCAGACGATACGGTCGGAAGGCAGTATTAAGGTGCTGGGGGTATGGATAGACAAGAACCTGTCTTTCATCCCCCACGCACAGGAGACGAGTGCGAAGGCCATGAAGACCTGCAGGGCCCTAAGTGGAGTGCTGCCCAACACAGGAGGGGCACGGGCAAGCAAACGCAGGGTTATGGCGTCGGCGGTCATGTCGGGATTGCTGTATGCGGCCGAGGTATGGCAGGCGGCAACGAAGTGGGGTAATGCGATGGCCAGTATGAATCGGGTGATCAGGCTGCTGGCAGTCCGGATCTGTAGCGCCTATAGGACGGTGCAGGCCGACGACGTCATGGTGGTTGCTGGGATCTGTCCGGCGGAGGTCGCGGTGGAGGCGAGGGCGAAGAGGTGGGACAGTGAGAAGGTGTACGCGGAGTGGCAGGCGAGGTGGTCAAGGAGAGAGTCGTGGACGAAGACTTTAATCCCGGAAGTGCGTGAGTGGTGCGAGAGGGGACACGGGGAGGTAGAATACTATATAACACAGTTTTTGACCGGTCACGGGGAAAATGGGTGTTACTTAGAAAGAATCAAGAAGCGCAACGACAGCAGGTGTGTGGATTGTGGGGAGGACGATACTCCGGGACACGCGGTACTGCAGTGCGCGCGTTGGGTTAGGGATAGGACAGGAGTGGAATTGGAAGTTGGGGCAAGGTTGGAGGAGTCGACAGTGATTGGATTGATGACCGGAGACGAGGGAAGGTGGCATCGGATTGCGACATTTATGACCAAGGTGGGGAGTACCCGAGAAAGGGAGACCAGGGAACGAGAGCGAGGGAGGCGGTAATAACATCTAGGCGCGAACCGCGCCGGCCGGACATGTCCGCGAAGAATGCCAATAATGGTGATGCCCATGTCATACCAGGCAGAGGAAATGGGTTTTAGTTTTAGTGGGTAAACCTCAAGGGAGTCCCACACGCCCCCCGCTAAGACCGCTAAGCGGGGGTAGTCCATAAAGGATTTCCCAAACCTCTATAAAAAAAAAAAGGTTAGGTTAGGTTGGTTAGGTTCGGTTAGGTTCGGTTAGGTTCGGTTAGGTTCGGTTAGGTTCGGCTAGGTTCAGCTAGGTTCGGCTAGGTTCGGCTAGGTTCGGCTAGGTTCGGCTAGGTTCGGCTAGGTTAGGTTAGGTTAGGTTAGGTTAGGTTTAGGTTAGGTTAGGTTAGGTTAGGTTAGGTTAGTCGCGCACGGGTTTTTGCAGCGAGTAGACGTGTTTTTGGAGCGCTCCGTGCCTCAAAATCGCGTAGCGTCGAATTCAAACGTGAAAATTACGTGTGTAGTATTGGTGGATGCGCGCAAAAAAAACAAATTTTTTGGTGCAAGAATCGTTACGATCGGACGGATAGTTCAGGTGTTACTGAATTTTAAGTTTTGAGACGGATTGTGTTGTTTACAACGAGACCACGTGGAATCGAACTGCGGAAGGAAGACACCGATAAGGACCTGCCGGGTATCATAAGGTAGGCCCTAGCATAGGAAGCCCAACCCGCACCGGGTCGTTCTTATCGGCGCACGCCCCGAGGCGCTACTGGCCTATCAATTTTGGAACGATAGCGACTGATAGGTCGGCGGGGGCGGAACGGGGTTAGATAGCCGCACGGGACCGGGTGGGTTCGACTGGAGACGGCGCGAGGTGTATTT